TCAGACCGTCACCCTGATCGCCAGTGTGTCCAGTGATGTTGTCCACACTCACATTTAACAACCTAGCCTGTGGGTGATCGCCAGTCTGTCCAGTAAAGTTGTCCACACTCACATTGAGCAGCTTGGACTGGGTGTTCAGACAGGAATCCTCTTCAATAGCTGGGGACTTAAGTTTGGAAAAACAACATTTTAGAAACATGTTTTGTTTTTGTCGGTTGTTTTCTTCTAAGTAAGATATTACATTTGTCCTAACAAAAGACGGGAACAGGACATAGAAACCTAGCTTGGAAACAAAGATAATTAATCTAGGTAGAACGGCAAGAGAGAGAGTGTGTTTTATTGCAAAAAAAAATCTTAGAAGCAAAGCCCGACTGTTTTAGGATTAGTAAGAGTTTTACGGCACTTACTGTAGTACAATATTGTCATATAAGTGATGGAAGCCCGACTACTTGAAAAACTATAGAGAAGAAGGAAAAAAAGATAGGATTTGTCAGAAGATACACAGAAGATACACAGAAAAAACACACAATCCACAACATCATTTAAATTAAAAATGCCTATAGAAATTATTTATCGTCATAGAGCTGTGCTACTTTTTCAGCTATGGGAAAATTTTGTGAAGTACAACCGAACAAGGTTATAATAGTGTTCACTCATCTTGGATGGTTCATATAAACTGGGATTTTTATGTTTTAGTTTTAGTTTCATAGCGCTTGCAACTCAACTAGGTAAAATAAGCGCTGAAGACTTGTTGTGTCGCAAAAGAGTCAAAAACTAAAAAAAACCGATAGATGATTGATAGCTAAAGAAGGAGCAAATCACACCAAAGCACCTGCCAACCACTAATGATTATACAGAGTACAAAGCCATGTCTGTCAGAATGAATTAATATCGACGAAAATAGTAGACGTATCAGAAAAACACATAAAATAACTTGTGTTCCTAAAGTTGCCATTTATATTATATTACAAAAACAAAATTAGCGTATAAGGTGGATGCACTGAGATCACCCAGTTAGTTAATGACTACAGTTCAAATTTCAACCTTGAACTTTGGAATTTTTAAGGCACAATAACCACTTGGCTTCATCAAACAGGAGATGGACGTCAGTTACGCCTTCTTCTTCTTCTTCTTCTTCTTCTTTTTCTTCTTCTTCTTCTTCTTCTTCTTCTTCTTCTTCTTCTTCTTCTTCTTCTTCTCTTTCTTCCTCTTAGTAGAAATGCTTCAGAACGAGGCAGGAGCCCAGAGGAAAGAGCAAATGAGGGGAAGAGGAGGGATCAGAAAGTGGAGACAAAAGCGGACGAGAGAATAATGTTAAAGAGCAGGAGAGGAAGTGAAAGAAGAACAGTTAGAGAACAAGAAAATGTTTCGTAGCTGTTTGGATTCGAACACAGTACTTATTGAATGAGTGTCGAACACCGAAACCTGTCAAACAACGACAGCCCTCGATTTTTTAAATATAACATTGTGTTCTTATTAAAGTTGCTGTTGTAGTTATTGTTTTTCCTTTTTGTTGTGGAGGTTAGTGGGG